AACAGAAAATCACAGAGACGTTCCAAAAACTGAATATATCACATAATTCAGTATTTAGTGTGTCCACCTTTTATTACAGCATCCAGCATTTCAGGAGATTTGCTTTCTGTTCTTCAAATAAATCTGCAGGCAAATTTGTCTAAACTTCCAAAGTTGGTTACATTCTCTGCTTCCCGCTATCCATGCAAGTGGATTGTGTTATGTCTAATCTCCTCAAAAATATGTCCTGAAAAATGCAAAACATGTACTTAATGGCTGGAATAGTCTATATAACAATAAACCTATATCAACTGTATCAAAAAGTTCTATAGTCCCACCAGGCTATGCAGGACTTAAGTTGGGAAACACTTAAGATCTCTTTCTACACTCTGTAATACATTTGTAGCAGTAGAGGATTAAGTTGCCGGTTTATTAAGTATGCCTGCCTTGCACAGACACTAACACTAATACCATTAATGACTGTAACCCTTTTTTGTGTTAGTCATCCTTTAGCCCTTCATCAGTGATCACCAGCCAACAGTGGTCACAGGACCTTATTTGAGCTGATTACAAATATTTAAGTTGACTACAACAGAAAGTAAACTGGACGTTTTTTTTATCACTTGAGTTGAAGTAAAAGCATGTAAATAAAAAAGCAGAAAATGCATTTATTATTGAAACGTTATGGGTCTTACAAAAACAACAGAAGTTCTGACTTTTGGGCTGGTGTGATAATGGTGTGATAATGCCTTTAATGCTGAGTAATATTTGTTTATATGAGCTCAAGCTGTGCCTGTCATCAGTTGGGGGCTACTAACTGACAGCTAGTGAAGCAAGATCAATAATCAGCCAGTTTTCCTACTGTAGGCTTGTGCTTTAATAACTGCATACAGTGGAAAAAAGGTGAAAAAATTCAATTGTTAATTGCATTATTTACATGGCAGTTAATTGTCAGCTAAAATTACACATTTGTTACAGGCCTATTGTAAACCCAGCACAGTGAGGCATTAAATGCTAGAACAGTTGGGCTACAATCTTACACCTACAAATTGAACCTGTATATTAGGTGTTCTTGATACAAATGGCCTAGGGGTGTAGCTGCAAGTTATGTATACCTAGTAAACTGGCAACTCGTTGTATATTATGGAGCCATTGAAAAACAGGTCAATAGTTATATGATGTAACATCCCACAACATAGCCTGAGATAAGACACTCTGTAATACTCATTGGGTTAGGGATCCATGTGTTTGTGGTAACACGGGAGGATCTAGATATTGATATTCCTATGATGGTTTCACTAAGTCTTGTGGTCTTGACTTGTGCTCACAGGTGGTCCTGGGTATTCAGTGTGAGCTCCAGAGGCAACTCCGATCCTTCATCTCCCTCGAGAGGCTTCCTATGATTCCACCCATCGGCCACCTGCAGCAATGCTTGGACCAGACGCCACGATTCTCCACCCTTTCCTCCATCTTCGGCAAGGGCATCAAGTTTGCCATCAAAAATGGAGTGGCCACAGCGGACGTCATAGGCGTAGCCAGCGAGGACAGCCGCCGCATGGCCGCCATCCTGCATGGTGCTGTGTACCTAGCAGGCCTCCACTTCACCGTGGACGGCCGAGACACGCACCACTTCGTCAAGCTCGGACCACTTGAGGAGGATCTGGCCGTCATGAGCAGCGGCGGTGGCGGACGAATACTGGAGAATGGCGTCAATGTGACCGTATCGCAAATGACCTCGTCGGCCGGCGGCAGGACCAGGCGCCTGGCCGACATCCAGCTGCAGCAGGGGGCACTGTGCCTGAATGTGCGCTACGGCGCCTCGGCCGAAGAGGCCAGGGAGCACGTGCTGGAGCTGGCCAGGCAGCGGGCAGTGGAGCAGGCGTGGGCACGAGAACAGGGCCGGCTGCTGGAAGGAGAGGAGGGCAGCCGACCGTGGACGGAGGCTGAGAGGCAACAGCTGCTCTCCAGCGGCAAGGTGGCCGGCTACGACGGCTATTTCGTCCTGTCTGTGGAGCAGTACCTGGAGCTCGCAGACAGTGCCAACAACATTCATTTTATGAGACAAAGCGAGATAGGCCGGAGGTAACACTGGTTAAGCCCTTGCCTACTGGCCCCTTCACCAAAGACTGCCTGTTTCTAGATTGATTTCTACGATTACAAAAAAAGAAGAAAAAAAAAACAAGTGATCAAGGGAGTAAGTCCCATCTGCCTTTAATTGTGACAAAATGATGGTATTTTATTATCGTTCCAGGTGGAGTTTATAAAGTGGCACAAGATTTTTTTTTCCCTCTTTTTTTCTTTCTTTTTTCTCTGTGGCTTAGCTTTTTCTATGGAGCTTTTTTTTCTCCTCAAAGAACATGGTATTGTTTCTCAACTTCTCCTAATTATGAACCTGTGGAGATGAAGTGAAACTAGTGTCATAGAATTGGTATCGTATTATCCTTGTTCCGACGCAAAAGAGGAGCCGTTTTTCATATTGGTTGTTCGCACTACATAGTACACCTCAACGTAATATAGTTTACATTTTGAGCAAGAGAGGCCTTGTCAAATTATCATGAGATGGAAGAATGAGCTGTACGTGTTCTTGGAACATGGAACTGGAAGCCCTACTGAACACTGAACTTAGATTATATTAAAAAAAAAAAACAAAAACAAAACAAAACTGCTGTCATGAATCTGATATTGTATATATGCACTGAAAACAATGTACATAGCAAGTGCTTTAAAAAAAAAGAAGAAAGTGCTAAAGATTTTAAGTATGTTGTCATCCATAATGAAGTGTTAATATTAATGACTAGATGCAGATACAATTTTTTTCAAGAAACTATACATGCTATGAAACTATCTGCCCTGGATCTCTGAGTATAAGGAGCTCATTAAAGGTATTATGTGTACATTACTGCATCATTATACTTTATTTGTTTTGTATTTCCCCCCTTGACACAAGCAGCTAAGTGACGCATATCACAGCCAACAAAGAGGTCAGTGTTCCACTCTAGTGGGGTATTTTACATCAAGAGCATCTAAGCCTGCAATGACGATGGTGAGAGAATACAGTGCTTTTGGGAAGCACCTTGCCTGCGCTTTACTAGTGTGATCTGATGTTGCTCTTAGCACATCGATGCCTCGGGAAACTCCGCCCAGGCGAGCGTGACACTGAAGGTGAAAGTCACTTGAAGGTCACCTGGACCATGTTCGTTTTTACTGAAGGAAAAAAAACAAACAAACCTCGGTATAAGACAATATGAATCACTGCTGGAGGCTGTGAATGACACGAAGATGCAGAAAATACAGCAGCCCACCTGCACCACGCAGATGTCGAGAACGAGCGCCAAATCGAGAGCTCTTTCATGTGGTCCTGAAAGATCCACATTCAGTAACGCTGAGCTGCTTTACTGATTGCGAAGTCCTTCTACGCATTTGATTTACATTCAAATTTCCTTGTGTGACTCGGTGAGTATTGGTAACACTTGGAGAAGGATCAGCTCATTAGGGGCCTTTGTGCTAATTGGACCATAATCTGTTGTTACAATTAGAGCCTGGGATAAAATGTGCCTTCTCACGTGCTGATAAAGAGCGTTACATTGACCTGATTGCAGTCTGGGTTAGGCTGTGCTCTGCAGAGCATTTCCCTCAGACATGAGCTGTTTACAGAACTGCATGGTAAAGCAAACACAGATGTCAGTGTAAGTAGCTCTGTGTTAAAGTGATAGTTACACAGTTTTCCCTGTTACCCTAATGTAGCTGATCAGTCAAGACATTTTTGGTGTCCAAAGTTTTGAGAAAGCGATAGTTTGGCCCAAAAAAAACTTCTTTCCTTTATCCAATATACAATGCATGTAACTAGATTTCCACCAGAGAGGTCTCAAAATCCCCAAATCTTACATGACGTGGCTGTAACAACAAATAACTTGACTGTGACGATTTGAGGTGGCATAGTGGCACCTGTGATAGACTGGCAACTTGTCCAGGGTGTTTCCTAACTTCTGCCCAATGACTGCTGGGATAGGCACCAGCACCCCCACAACCCAGGAGGATAAGCAGCTTAGATAATGTGTGTGTGTGTGTGTGTGCATGTGATGATGATGATTTGGGTTAGCTTTGTAGCTCCAGCGCAAAACCACAGAAACAACATCAGACAATAAACATGTATTGTGGAAAATCGTGCAAATTAGATTTTTCCCAGAACAATCTCTGTAATACAGGTTTTCCTCGCTGCATTAAGTGTAGATCTGTGTTGCTGCACTCACAGTTACCTGTGGCATCAAGTAGATTAATTCACTGTGGTCAGTGGTCTGCTGTGGTTGTGAAAAAGCTGTATGTGCTGCAACACATCTCACATCCCCTTTTCCTTGCAGTATATACTTTGTTCTGTTTAACTCTGCTGTTTCTTAGCCCACCTCTGCAACCGCTGAAGTCTCAATGTAAATGTCGGAAGCCATAAATATCCATGAGGCTATGAAAATCACCGTAAATGGACCTTTTCTGATTCTGTGTGATAAGGCTGATTTCGTTTCCAAGCATCAACATCGGTAGAATATTGAGAGTGCCGTTGCTAGGAGACAGGGTGCTCTTCCTGTGGCGGTTGTCTGGGCACTGTGCAGATTGATGCGATACTGTATGCCTGCATTGAAATCATCAGGCTGCACGCTTTTGGCTTTGGCCCAAAGCAAGCCTTTTGGTTTGTGAGTGTTTTTTTCTTCCTTTTTGTTTTTTTTTTGGGTTTTATTTGGGGGGGTCTCTGTCAAAAACTAGATACATTTTGTTCATGATGTTTTCTTTAACATTCAGGAGAATGCTTTTCTTTCAAATTGCAGCCAAAGCAAGGTTCATAACAGAGACAGACAAAGGAAGGTCAAATGAATAACGTTCAGTGTCCCCTGCTATAAATGCCTTTTATTTTTAAGTCTTTCATACGTAAGTCTTTTTGTTTCAGGATTTAGTTTTTCTCAAACTCCATCTCAAACCACTCAGCAGAAGACCAAGAGTGACATCTTCAACTAAAAGTTCATGTTTTATTTTGCAGTTTCGGTGCATCTTAAAAGACACAAGGCATCTTTACAGACAGGATTGTAACAGTATCACAGTCCATTACTGAGCTGACCAATTGCATGTTTGACATTTTTGATAGATTCCCACAATATATGCCACTTTATGCAGTACAAATTTTGCAAAAAGAATTAAATGAAAGTGAGACTAAGCTTATTGACCTTATAGGGTTAAAGTCTGTACTGACTGGAAGAGGAGGTGCAAATGTGACCACATGCGGCAATCGGTAAACATACAGAATGTTCGGCATGAATTACAGACTGTGAACATAAATATGTTTTCCTTTTTTTGACTTTTTCACTGTAGAATGTTCAGTGAACATAAAGGAGTGTCAAACTAATACGTTTCTGTACAGTTGAACAATCATTATTTATTTTAATTACATTTTAGGTCTTCTTCAGTTTTAGAAATGGCTGCTCTTAAGCTGGTTTTACTAAAAACACTGAAAAACTGCACAGCAGATACACAAACGCAAACTCAAGTCAAGTATATGCAGATCCAGATAGGTGCTGTCTGCTACTTGTACGAGTGGAACAGAAGAAAAGTCATTGAAAAGTCAGTGATTCTGATGATCACATCCAGGAAAAAAAAACAATCCACAATGAATGTCACATGTACTGCATCGTGTGAGTTCGCTGACTTAGTTTACTGTGTTTGGGACATGTGTTGATTCTGGACAGTCACTGGGTAGAGCAGTGGAATGGCAATGCCTTGATCTGGCTTCTCAAAGGCACTTATCAAATTCTTGACTTTCCGGAATAAGCGTTTCTGCTGACCGGGGGCTGTCTGTAAAAGGACAACAAAGGTTTCGGCTTATTAATATTTGAACCTGAGGACTGAGAACAATCTGAGACATTTGTAAAGGAAAAAACTCCACTCAATCTGCAAACTGCACACTCATAGTGCTAACTACAAAACCCATTGAAATCGCATTCTGTCACTGTCAGACTTTTCTGTTTACTTATTTTACATATTTCAGAACGTTAATTTGAGTTATATGTGCATTACAGAAATTAATTTGATGCGTACAGAGCATGTCGCCACTGCTTTATTTAGCATGTTGTCTGAGCCCAAATTATGACCACCACAAAAACATACGTAGGCACGCCCCGTGGAAACTGTGGTTTTCTCAAGCGAGGTCTCACGCTGACAGGGGGGCCGCACTTTGTGATATCGTCACAGATGAAGAGATGTGGCTTACTCACAAAGCGACTGCTAGGATAAAATGAAACTTGACCGCTAGTAGTAAAAAAAAAAATTTAAATGCACAATATTATTATCGTGCTGCACATTAACTGAATTTAAATACAATTAAAGGGAAATACAGTGAATATTACTACTACTATGAATAATAATTGTTAATAATAATTTATTCTGCTATAATGTTCATTATTACTGCTACTACTACTGCTATTACTACTATTATTACTACAAATAATTAAATAATAACAATAATAATAATAATAATAACAATTTATTTTGCTATTATTTTTATTACTACTAATAATAATACTATTACTGCTACTGCTACTACCATTACTACTACTACTACTACTAATAATAATAATAATAATTTATTTTGCTATTATTTTTATAATTAAGTTTATGTGCCCTGCGATGGACTGGCGACCTGTCCAGGGTGTATCCTGCCTTCTGCCCAATGACAGCTGGGATAGGCTCCAGCACCCCATGGCGACCCAGAAGGATAAGCGGTTTAGATGATGTATGTATGTATGTATTATTTTTATTACTACTACTCCTACCAGTACTACTACTACTACTACTACTACTACTAATAATAATAATAATAATAATAATAATAGTAATAATAATACTAATAATAATAATCAACATAAATAATCATCAACATAAATATTTAACAATAATCATTTTCATTTCATTATACAGAATTATACAGAAACATCACTGATAAGTAAAGGCACATATAATCCACACATATACTTTAAGACTGCAAGCTGTTTCTATTATTAATACTTTGTCTCTCATCTCACTGTAATAAACAAAAAAGATTTGTGGCTTAATGCTTTGGCATAATTAGTACCAACAGTCTAAACAGTACTGACGTATTTTTCCTGTGTATAATGCTCATACTTCACATGCACAGTTATGTTTATTATTATATTCATAGTATATTTAAAGTGTAGTCGAATTGTTTGTAACATTTTACAGAATGACATTTCCTAACCTAAATGTGACTTGTAAAGATATTTAAAATGATTTCTATTTGCAGAAGAGCTCAACACTCTCCAAGCGAAGGGCAAATTGAGCAAGTGAGAGGTGAGAAAGTGACTAACAAAGGGATGGTGGAGGTGTCTCAGTTACAGTTATTTTTGGCAACTTTAAACTTAAACTTAAAGACAAAGTCAAAGTCTTCAGGTTGTTAGGTTATCAGTGATGGTCTGTGTAGTCCAGGATTCAGAACGTTCAGATCTATATTCACCAGCTGCCACATACATTGTGTCAAAATGTCATGAAGAACAGATGAAGAGAAACAGTCCAAATGAACTTTGAGTAAAATGTTGTTCTGTTAGCTTAGATTATTGAAATTTAAGATTTTTTTTCCTTCTCCAAGTTTTGTTTCGACAGCAACGGCATGTATGTATTTGTGTTTTTATTGAGTTTTTTTTATTATTTTATTATTGTCGCCGTCAAAAAAGAAAAGTATCTCCTTTTTTGTTGATTTTTTCTCCGTATTTTGAACACAGCAGCTGTCCTTTACATTGTGTGACAATTTTATGATGAATGAGCCATAGAAATGCTCCTGAATCATTTAGAATAAAATCTCTTTACATTAAAAGTTAAGAGCGTTTTGGCCTTCTCCTTTAAAGTTATTATTTTGAAGATATGTATATAATGTAAATTAATGTGTGTATATATATATATATATATATATACACATATATATATATATATATATTGTCGCTGTCCAATGAAAAACATATATCATATATATATCTCATATATCTCAATTTTTTGCAATTTTTACTTATCTGCATCATTTGAGCTCAGCAACTGTCCTTTACATTGTGTGAAAATTTCATGATGATTGGACCAATAAAAATGCTCCAAAATTGCTTAGAATAATTTCCCATTAATTACACTGAAAGCAAAGTAAAGTTACTATTTTGGAGATACATGTTTTTCATTGGACAGCAACGATATGTATCTCCAAAATGACAACTTTACAGGAAAAGAAAAAAACCTACTTTACTTTTAATGTAAGTCAGGCCATTCTGGGCCAATTCTTTTGGTCCATTCGTCACAAAATTTACACAGAATGTAAAGGCTAACAGGTATTTTCAAAATGGACATACTAGGTTTTCTTCATATATATATATATATATATATATATATATATATACATACATATATATATATATGTATATATATATATATATATATATATATATATATATATATGTATATATATATATATATTTGAAGAAAACCTAGTATCTTGGAGCAGTTAATAATATACATCTACATACACATATAGGCTGCCTGTTGGTCTACAGATTTTTCATTTAAAACCACAAATGATGGAGGTCTCTGTCAAATCCTTAATCATTTCATACACAGTTGTTGTAATGTCACTGCCTTTCTCGCTTTGTGCACTTGCTGCAGTCAGCTAAAAAACAATATTGTGGTGACAGAGAGCCAAAAAACAATGTTTTGTATGAGCCATAACTGAAGGAAGCAGTTTTTAGTGGTTTTGTTTGCAGGATGTTTCTGTTTTTCCTCTGTTCTCTGACATTCAAAGCTTAACTGTGCTCTTTGGAGACCATGAACATGGCCTGTGAGAGAGCCTTTACATTTGCAGGGAAGGACTTTAGTTGGATGCACTGATGCGGAGTGTGTTTCTTAAACTAAGTCAGCGAGCCATGCATCTGTAAAGTAATTTCTACTTCACTAACGGGTCACTGCATGATAGACGTGAGAGATTTCACAAGAAAGCTATAGACTGGACCAAAGTCTCACCTCTGCTGCCCAGGAGCCTCCATTGTTCTGCTGGAGCCGGTAAGTGTAGACAAGGTTGTTGCACCTGTCAGTTCAATGTCACAGAGCGAAATCACACTCAAGTCAAAGCAGCAGAGTTCACATCATAATAAGCAGTTGCAAAGTTTGGCCTGAGATAAAATCTGGTCTTTGTGAACTGCTTTGAGGGGACTGAACTAAAGAATTTATTCTAAATGTGAAGTTAAATAGATTAACCCCTTGAACTATAAGGGCTTGTAAGTACACTGTAAAATATAGAACTTTAAAAAGTAGCACTACAGTTAAATGTAGTGCAACTTTCTAAGAGTTCACCCCAACATCAGGAGATCAGAATCCTAGCAATGACACCCATGCCTGGTGGGACTGGGTGATGAAAGACTGAATAATCTTTGAGTAAAAAACATCTATATTGTTTAACTAACTGAGCTGAAGAACTAAAGAAGTAAGTTAGTAAATTTTGACTAAACTAAGAAGTTGAATGAGCCCCAGTTAACCGAAGTTACGCTGATTTATTATTATTTTTTTTGCAGTGTGGGCCCACACTTCAAATGCTCACTTTTAGAACTTTTTTATAACTTTGTAATTTATGTAGTTTCTAAGTAGTTGCCAAATAACTTGCTGTTACTTGCGTGGTCCTAACAAGCAAAATACAGCATAAGAAATGTTATGGCTAAACAGACTGCATGCAAGCCACAGCTAATGCTCCATTATGATGTCCATTAAACCCTAAGAGCCTGTATGTGGCGCACACTTAATTTCTTTACTGTCATAACTGCATAACTTACATATTAGTTTCATAGTAATTACAGAATAATTTATTATACTTACTGAATAATAAATCTTTACATAGGGCTTAAAACCTATGACCTGATTTAATGGGCATGGGTTTAGTCTCAGTGTAAACTGTAACATCTGTTTTATTGCCGGAAAGCCTTTTTAGTCTGGAGTTAAACTAAATCTGGGCCTCTGAACCCTGGACTTGATCTCCATTCAGAATGTTACATAGTCCAAGACTAGGCTTAATCCCTGTCTGGGAAACCGACCCTAAGAGCAATTCAACCAATTATTCACTCTTGTAGTGACATATTAGTTACGTAGTAATTACCAAAAAAATTATATGCTACCAAATAATAAGTATTACAATTAGCCATTTTTGGAAGAAAACCTTGTATCTCCATTTTTGTCAGTTTTTGACATATTTTGAAAATATCTGTTACCCTTTACATTGTTTGTAAATTTCATAATGAACGGACTAAAAGAAATGGCCCAAAATTACTTGGAAAAATTGTCTGGTTCCATTGACTTACATTAAAAGTAAAGTATGTTTTTTCCTTCTCCTGTAAATTATGAATTTGGAGATACGATGTTTTCTTCCGACAGCAACTAATTGATAATTGAATAATATGATTCATGGGGTTAAAGGGAATGTTTAGATGCATGCGCTGCTGCACGCTGAACTTACAGTACGCATAGGCAGTAAGCTCCAGAAACGCTCTCGCTGTCACGGATTAAGTAGCTGCCATCTTTGCCGGCCTCCCCTAGACGCCTCTCGCAGGTCTCGCGGCTGATGGCCCCGTGATAAAAAGGCAGTGCTTCCATCGCGCTTACTCTCATGCTCACCTTCGCCGCACCAAGAGCTATTTGTTCCTTGAACAGGAAATGATGATAGAAGCAGGAAATCGCTTCAAAGACCTTTTTCCGCAAGAATAGTTGGTACGTGTGGAAAATGTCAGTTAAACACTTTGCTTTGTGAGATAAGGCCTGGCTTGGTTTTGCATTGTCATTCTGTGCAAAATTGCACAGTTGCAACGATTTCAGGATTTGCTGCAAAGTCTGGGTTACAGATTCGGAGCAGGTGCAGGCTGTAAATATTACACTGTGCGGACGATGCATGGATGTTTTTTAAAACTGATATAATCAATGATATAGTCAATATTTCCTGAAATATTGTAGTGTCAAGGTATCAGATGATATTGAAAATAGCATGAACAAAGTTAAAGAGCTCCTGATGAACTCATGCATCCTGGCATACCAGTGCAACTGTTCACCAGACACAAACTACTTTTTCAGAAAGGAAATTTTCTTTTTATTTAATTTTATGTGTTTTATTTACTTTTTATGAATTGTTCTTTCAAAAGAATGTGAAGAACCCAGTAAAGCAACCCAGAACCAGGAGTAAAGTGCACAAAATATAATGAAAAACTAAAAATAAACAATGTGGCAATGGAAGTGCCTGTACTGTAAAGTCATATCATGGAAATAATGCTCATCATGTATCACCTGAACAATTGCTAAAACTGAAAAGCAAGATATGTCTATGTAAAGTACACCACTACAGACAATATACTTCAGATCTGCTTTTATGTGAAGTTGAAATCACTGTGGAAATTCATCATGGATGCTATTTAAGTGCTTAATGTGACACATACTGTACAGTATATGACGTGACTTAGCATTAACATTATTATTGTGTTCCATTAAAATGTTTTCTCAGTAACATAGCTTTAGTCAAAGCCCCATTTCCATCCACCTTTCTAAGAACTGCTTTTGAAAACAGAAACATGATTTAGAGGAAATATTTCGAGAAATGAATGTAAGATACACCAGTGAAACACATCACTCATCAGTTTGATCTGGCTTACATGCGTCTACACTGTGTCTGACAGCAGTTCCAGTTTAACTCAAAGATAAATCGCTCAATCCTTTAGAAGTATTGGTGTGAATTGCAGTGGTCACAATTTTTACACGATCACCTGATCGCAATTATTTGAGCTAACTGCAATTATTTCAGCTGACCACAATTTTCACTTTTCAGGTGAAGGAAAAACTTTAAATTTCAGCGTAAGTTACAAATGAGATTTTGGACCAAAATCAAATTCAAGTGCTGTTCTGAAGGCAACTATATGCAGCAAACAGAATGTAAACAGGTTGCTTTTTTAAATCAGGAAAATACAGTAAAAGAAAGCAGAAAACATGTTTATTGAGACACACTGAGGACCTGACAAAAAACAAACCAAAAAAATGTGTGTCTTGGCGCAATAAAACATTCAGAGGGCAGCAGTGAGTAATGTTTGTTTATTTGGAGTATAAACTTGTATATGGAGTATAAAGCTGTATTGTCACTTGGGAACTACAAAGAATCAACAGTTAGGAAACAAGAAAGTCAATCAGCCAGTTTGGCCACTTTATGCTTGTATTTTAGTAGTTGGGTACAATAAACAAAAAAGGGCTATTAAATTATTAAGGGGTTTCTAAATTCAAAAATAAGTGGGATCCAAAATTATTGTGTTATTTCATTAGTTGGTTGCTTTATTTTTCATTTTCAATACTTGAAGCCACACAGGTGTAAAAAAAATCTTTCATGAAGGAGCCCGTTAGCTTAGGTTTTTTGATGTAGATTAACAGGGACAATGCACATTAATAAACATCACTGTAAATATGCCAGTTTAGCCAACTTGGCTGATTTTCAACTCTCTGGGTGGGTACAAAAAGACAAAAGCAGCCATAAAATTACACAAAATATGAATAATACCTACAGCACAAGATCGTCACACTCGTCACTGATCTAGTAGACTTATTTTCAGTCGTTTTCTCCTTAATGAAAGCAGTTAGAGGATGAAAAGCCATGCAGGATTTTATATTGTGTGTCTTTTCTCCGTTTTATTACGGCAATAAGTAAACAAGTTGGGAAACCTTCCAAGGCTTGAGAAAAGTCAGCCACTTTGATCAAAATACAAAAGCGATTCTGAAGATAGATATCGGACAAAAACGTCATGGAAGCGAATCGCTGCATTTGAACGTTTGGTATTTCTAGAAATAGATGTGAGAAAAAGCCTTTGAAACTTGTCATAAATGTGCTGGTTTGGTCACATGGTGCCAGCTTAACTGCACTGTGGCTGACAGAGGTTATGGTTTTACACGCTATAGAGGTGTAGACGGACTACTGTGCTGTCTGCCTGAAACCATTTATTCATTAGACCTCTAATGGTCTAATGTTGTGCCCAGATTCTTGACTTAGAGACTCATGAACGTGGGTTTCTAAATTCAAGTAGAACTGGAACCGAATAGTATTACTTTTTATTTTCAAGACTGGAAGCTTAACAGTTCTACAATCTTTCATGATGTATGAATGCAATTTTGAGGAAGTATTTCTAGAAATAGGTGTGAGAAAAAGCCTTTGAAACTTTGGTCAAGTGGAAGTGCACTGTGGCAGACAGAGCTTATGGGTTTACACTAAGTATACTGGTCAGGTCTTGTGCTGCCCTCCTAAATCTGTTTACTATTGCATCTTTAATGGTCAGATATTGTAGCCAACATCTTGATTGTTCTTTGTTTAATTGCCATAATGGAAAACATTTCAATGTTTTTCAATGGAAACTTTCAAATATTTTGATGAAAGTATGAAAGTGATAATAGAGATATCAGACAGAACATGTTACTTGCTAATCATTACAAATGAAGCTTTGGGAGTAATGTTTCTAGAGATGAGGTGTGAGAAAAACCTGTTAAACTGTCATCACAGGTGCATGAGCAGGTGTGGCACCACACTTTTTAAAAGTGGTGGGGCAAAACTTATTGATTCACAACAAAACAAAACAAAAAAAAACTGCTGGCTGAATGACAAAATGCATCTAGGCCACTGAACAGTGTCAGTGTTCATTTGACTCTGCGTTTCACTGGGTTGCAGCAACATCTCTGAAGAACATCAGGCTGCTTTCATACCCAGTTTATTTTTGAAAGACCACAGCAGAGTTTAGGTTTTTCCATTTGGTTTGGTTGGTTTCACACAAATTACGTAGGTGTTTGTTTATTGGTCAGACATTTTGCACTGATACGAGCACTCTCGTCACCATAAAAAAAAAATAAAAAAATTGAGATTCTTAAAATCTTAGTTCACCACAATTAACGATTGCTTTTTATGATAGGTTTACCAATTTAAGTTAAACCAATTAAGTTGCTGATGCTTGGCCAAAAATACTATGATCTATGATGAGATCTATTGCCAAAATCAAATGTACCTCTTTTTTTTATTGCTCTGATGTTAGTAGCAGCTTGTGCTGAAAGAATGATATGAGCTTTAGTAAAGAGTAAACTGTTAAAACAGGCAGGTTATGCGGACAGCAAAGCGCTGATATGCACTGCAAAAACCAATCTGTGGTGTTGTTCCGTTTAGTGTGGGGGTTGTAAAAGGGCGTTCACACCAGAAACGAACTGAAGCAGGGTCATTCGAATGAAGCTGAGACAATTGGTAGGCGCAGACCTGAATACGGGTGGAGTGTTCACTCAGAAAACTGACCAAACTTCAGAAGAAGTTCTGTAGGCCTGATCTAAACACGGTAGTTGTGAAAGTGAGTTAAGCAACATTCAAACTGAGTAAATTCACACCATGTAGTAACAAAAACTGTTACTGGTCATCTGCATAAGTTTGTATATTGCAGTAAATACACATTTCCTGGATTAGACAACATGAACTCACAAAGGTTTTACTGATTGAGAAATGTCCCGCCTCCCAGCTGATATGGAGGTTTTGATTGGTTCTGCCAATTATGTTTTCAGGTCTATAGGTCAGCACTTTGCAAACATAAGTCCTGAACTTGCCCAATCTGCATACCCTCCCAATTTGATATGCACATGCGCAACACTGCCACACATGAGTAGAGAACATTATATCTACCAGTGTAAAGCCCAATCTTACATCCCTGTCCTGATTTCACTTCCCAAGGACGCTTGGGCAGAATTAGCAAATTAGCAAGCTTTCATTATCATGCAAGCCATTATAGTTATTTGTAAAACTTGTCACTAATTTCATTCAGTAGTGTGGTAGCTTTGTTGCATTTATTAACAAATATATTTAAGTTAACAAAAAAGTCAGGCACATGCATATCTACCTATGCCTTTTGAGGTTTCTCCCAGTTTTGTTGACTGACAGCTCTGATATATAATGATATGATTCATCCAATAACATGGGAAAGGAAGTAAAATCAGACCAGGGATGTATCATGAGACTCCACACTGACACTACCCGATCCACACTGCATATGAGTAAGCATTTTACAGCAGCTTAAAACTGTGATCCTCAACAACACGGCCATATTCTTCAGTAGTAATTACGTGTGTATTTTGCGTTCTTCCCCACTCAGTTGGCAAGCTATCCTACCTGTTTATCAGTGAAAGCACAGAGCTTTAAGGTGTGATTATCTACGTGAGTGGTTTTGCTTTGTGTAAGATGTCATTCTTAGCCTGTAAGAGCAACAGTAACAATGGCAGGAACAAAGCTGGGCAAAATATCGGCCCAATCTTATATTGCTTTCTACTTCCTAGTCCCTGTGTACCACATAGGCCATTATATAAAGGCTTCTACACACAACATTATATGTTCAAATAAAAGCCATTTATATTCAGCCATAGTTGCACAACATTCTATCTAACATTAAGTGCACTATTTGGGTGTAAAAGTCATGGTTTCAGACTTCTACACCCAAAATAGTTCAACCCAAGACTGTGTAGTGGTTTCAGCATTAAACAGCCCAAGCTATTCCACTAATACAATATAAAAAGCTAGGCATGAGGGGTACAGATTGGCCAGTGTCAACGCAATGCAGTATACACAAGTGTCACAGTGGTGCACATACTTGGTGCAAATTAAGCAGCGGCAAAGGTCCAGTAGTGAAAGGCGTTTTACGTATTTCTGTGTTTTTTTGTTAGGGGTACTCGTTGCAACGTTACGCTATTAATGCACTTCCATTTTTTGTGAAAAGGGCCCATTAAATAGTGGTGGGTCATCGCTGCAGTACCTTCGAAAGTGGTGGGTTAAAAGGCTGCTCACCCTTGTGGTTCGAGTTGCCCTGTGAACGAGTTTGGTTGGTTAGTACTGGCTTAACTACACTGTGACTGATGGAGGTAAATTGCTCACACCTGTAGACACATTAGAGTGAGTGGCAGACTATTCTTTGTAGAAAATGGGTTTCTGATTCAAGCATAACTGGAATTAAACCTTTTTTGTTCATTTTCACGACTGGAAAGCAAAAAGATGACTATCTTTAATGAAGGCAGGGGATGTCCTGTTCTTTATGTAATTGTGCTAATGGAGAAACAGGTTTTGGAAACTCTTAATACTGGAGTAATAATAATCAAGTCCTTTGATTAAAGTATAAACTCTAGGGATGAGTCAGAATTGTTGAATATTTGAGTAGTCATGAATGTTTAAAAAACTGAATAGTGAATTTGGATTTTTGGTATAAAATTTGCTTTACATATTATAATCTCATACTGAAGAACCATGTGATGTCTGAACTCTGTTGGAGCCTGTGTCGTATGTTTTTGTCAGTTTCTTATCTATTTAGTTCAAAGTATATACATATATATCTGTCACTGCTGGCCTTAGAATGGTCCACCAACCAAAAATGTCCAGCCAACAGTGCCCACTACCACTGATAATGAACCAGATAATGACTAATACAAACTGCGCAGCAGCAGACGAGCTATTGTCTCTTCAAGGCAGACCAACAAGGTAGGTGTGCCTGATAGAGCAGAGAGGTGAACGTTTGAAGGCTGCGACTAGAGTCTATTCTTTATGCCCTTTAACTATACATTTTTCATTTAAGGCCTTGATGAAAAAACAACTTCAGTAATAGTTTTTTTTTGTGAAGTAATCATGCTGAATATGAATGTATATCGCAAATAATGTTTAAATTTATATGCATATAAAATGGCTTTAACTGGATATTTAGAATCTGTTTCATTTTTTTTCCCCCCACTGTGAGGTTTCCTTAAATGTTTACACACATACACAAAATTTACTGAAGTTAAAGCCAATTTACAATGTGACTCAAATGACACTGAGCTGACAGCTGAGGGAAAAATGGCTCAAGCAAAGGTCTTATTTTCACCTTTTTTCCTGTAGAAAATAGCTCAATTTCAGGCCTGTTTTTGCACCAAAACGTACCACAAGGATGCAAGCAGCCGTGGTGTTCTACTTGGTTCAGCATTGCTGGTTGCAGTCCCACGCTTGATGTCAGTAATGATGAGTACTGTGTGTCTGCTGATGTATCCGCTCGCCTTTAATGATGTTTATGGCTAGCAGGCTGTGTGCATGCATCTCTAATGCCATTGACATGGCTTGTTAAGCTTTGCCCGAGCTCCACAGCTCACGGGAATCCATTAAACCAAAGATTAGCTAAAATAATCTCTTCTCTCTTGCAGCTGAACGCCTACTTACACTGAAATGTACTGAATTTTTAACACCAGTGGAACCAGAAAAAAGACATAAAGAAAATAGAAATTAAAATAGACGGTAACATTTGTAATTACTTGCTTACTGTGTTCTAGATTCTTGGCCGTTTCTCCCTTTTTTTTCTACCCTTTGCTGACAGAAGTCTGTCAGATTTATTCTTAAGACACCTGGCTTGTTTGCAAGACCATGTGCACGGCTGAATCAGACAATTATTACGAAATGTCTCCCTCTGGTGGTTGCAATGAAAAGTGTTATTTATTCGTTCGAATGTTAAAAAAGTGACAAATCAAGAGCAGGATTTTCTGCTCCTTTTAAGTGTTTATTTCCATAATCTAAATGATGTTTTGAGAGATAAAAGAACAGGGCTGCAGTATAAAATACTAGCACTCTGTGTTTTCTCCTTTCAGCATGTTTCTATACAGTACAACGGATTACAAGATTTCGGATTGTGCAACAACTGTTCTTGGGAGAATGCCCATGACTCTCTCATGCACTGACCTCCAGGAAAGAGTATTAATATGATGAGACTAAAACATTCACCATGAAACTGGTGGGTGCAAGTGTGCTCTGGATGTCTGGTCAAAATTGGAGGAATGCAAAGGGGTGGCCTTGAATATATACCATCTGCTGTTCCTTAATCCTTGCTGTCATACCACTTATAATAAATCAGACTTTCAGGGGCTTGTATAACAGCTACAGTTGCAACTAAATGAACAGCGATGCATGAGAGTAATATGAGAGTGTCCAAAAGTAGAGAATTCAAATGTATTAATAGTACAATGGCTTTAGAGACCATGCATTATATATACATATAAATTATAGTTTATATATGCATACAACTGTGTTACAGTCACAATAATCACTCACTGGCATAAGTCTTTTAAGAAAGCTTTTGGTCCATTAGTCCATAGCAGCTTAATTATACCCATGCCACTATAATACCATGACAAAGTCCCTTCACAATGAATTGTGAGTCATCTTTTCCACCATTCTAAATCTGATAACATATACAAGTGCTTAGTCAATACAATGATGGCCGTGAAAGTCAAGTTGTTAAAAAATATGTACCAATACCCATTAATGCATAGAGGACACTCTTTACAATCCATCACACTGTGCCATTTTCTGGAGTTGCCAAGTCTTTGAGGTCACTCAGCTTCCTAGAGAAGGAACTGAGCCTGGTGCTGAAGGAGCCTCGTTTTTGAGACAAATTGCAGGCATGTGTTTGAGTTAGACCTCCTAACTGTTCCCGAAAGTGGTTGCCCACAAAGCAGTAGAGGAAGGGGTTGATAGCACTATTGGAGAAGCCCAGGCAGATAGTGAAGGGTAACCCAAGGCTGATGGTCTGCACCACCTTGCAGGCTTTCAGAACCTTGAGGCTGACCAGCACGTCCAAGAAAGTGAGTGTGTGGAAGGGGAACCAGCAAAAGAAGAAGGCCAGAACCACAGCACCCACCATCTTGAGGACTCTGTCCAGGTTGCTGGTGCTCTTGTCCAGGCCAGGAGCTGTCAGAAGATGTTTTCCGATGCTGCAGTAGCAGCTAGTGACGATGGCGAACGGCAACAGGAAGCCCAGGATGTTCTTCATCAAAGCCAAGCCTACAAACCAGCTGTGGCTGCGAAAGTGGATTACGCAGGCAGTCACATTGCTAATATGAAGAGTGTCTCGGAACATCATGGTGGGGATGGTGGTCAGTCCTGCGGCAAACCATACCAAGAAGCAGACCACTCGGGCTCTACATAGGTTCCTACATCTCTGGGACTTAAGTGGGTGGACAATGGCCATGTAGCGGTCCATGCTCATACAAGTGATGAAGAAGATGCTAGCATACAAATTGAGGGTGAGTAGACCCCCACACAACTTGCACATTAGTTGGCCAAAGATCCAGTCATAATCGAAGGAGTAGTAGACCGCCCAGAAAGGAAGGCTAAGGAGGAAGAGTAGGTCGGAGAGTGCGAGGTTGAGAATGTAAGTGTTGGCCACTGTTTTACGGATAGAGGTCTGACAGAGGACAAACACCACGAGTCCGTTTCCAATAACACCCAGGGCAAAAATAATGCTGTAGATGGCTGGGATTAGGATATTCTGGTGCTGGACTGAAGGGCTTGTTTGGCAAGTTGAATGCAGTTCATATTCCTCCACTGATACATTGTCCAGCGATATGTTGAAATGAAGCAATCCAGTCATGGTGGAATCCTGACTGCACTCTTCACGGGCCGTGAGACTGTATATGGCCTTGCTAGAAAGCAAAAGATGTATGTGGTTACACAGGAACATTTTTAGACAATTTAAATGAACATAAATCCAATTTGGCTGCATGTAAATGTATAACGTGATTCTAATATGCTAGTACAGTGAGTCTTCACAAGTTTCAAATAATTCAATTTAGGAAACTAAATTCTGATTCAAGATTCTGAATAAAAAGAAAAAGAAATTTTAGTTGTGTCCAGATTGATGCACAAGCCAGCAGTATAACATTAAGAAAAAAGTCACAATAAAATATCCAGAATATCCAGTATCCCTTACATTCCAAAGTGGTGATATATATATATATATATATAATTTAGATGGTGGGTTACCTTTAATATCTAAATATACATTGGAAGTTATTATGGCATATAAAACTGATTTCAAATTTTGAACGTTATATAGGCCTGTATATATTTAAAATAGCTTCAAATAATCTGTGAAACCTATTAAGTTATTCTGCTTTTGTATTTTCAATATTGCCAGAAATCTGCATGTCAAAATATTGATTTTAAGTTATGTATGGCATGCAAGAATAATTTCTCAAAAAGCAGCAGATTTAACTAAGCTGAAAGTCAAAACAGTCTCAAGATGTAAATTCACTGATGTAAATCTTCCACTATTACTAAAATTAAGAATAAATTGAAGAATAAAATACAGCAGGACTTTTATAAAACTTCAAAACTAATGCTTTGCTGTCTCTTTAGCACTAAGCACTAAAAATCAAACAAATTACCTTGCCGTCCTTGAGTCCTTGAGCAATCTGAGGACACAAGGAGCCCCTTGCTGAGTTTTATACACTTGCACTCCCCCACATGGAATTCGCCATGCTCAACACTCAGCCAGACACATGCCAGAAGCGCCTGTGAAGGGGAAATATGTTGGTTTGCCCCGTTTCTTGTGCTGCAGTAAAACCAGCTGAGATGTTCTTGAGAAAACAAAGATGGGAAGAGAAATCAAATCAACATGTCAGAGTCCTTTCTACATGAGTGGGGTTTTGCTGAAGCCTGCCTGAACACAGTTCGACATCAAACAGCATGACAAACTGCAGTGCTTTTTGGCTAATCGAGCAGAACTAACACACCAACCTGGCTGCATCCTCTGAGTTAAGAAACCTTAGATTTGATATTACGTGGTGTACTGAACTTTTTTGGAGACGGGCCACTGGTCGGCTCAATTACAATGGAACTTTTTCCTCCCTTTCTGGTGTAAATTGTGAAACGGTTGCATAACTGCAGAGGAAGTGAACTCAACCAGGCTAGGGAGAGCGGATTCCCTCCAGTGATTTTTATTAAAGCTTCTTAGGAAACTTAATGAAGGCCATGTTTACCTCCATGTGTCTAGTTACAGCACGAAGCCTTTGATCAATAATGAGTGAAAATACAGATAAAGCTGGCATGGACCTCTGCACTGCATAATTTACAACACAAGCATGAGGAAAAAATGACATGCAAAATATAGGAGGATATATATGTATACATATATGATGTATGCATGCTGCATCTTCTCAGAAGGAACATTTAATGGTTTAGCATGATAAACATTTAATCAAATACAAGAAAATCTACAGAATCCTAAGGGTCCTTAAGGTTTTTGTATTTAAAAGGAGACACCTGCATGACATTTTAAGATATGATGTTGCTTCCACACCTTAGAAAGATGGTTCTAATGAAGACTGAAAACAGCTGTGAGAAAGAGTTTCCTGTTATCAGCTGCAAATAAAATGTCTCTTATTTCATCTACACATAAGACTTTGTCTGGCTGTTTCTTAACAAAGACACCCAGTGCTCTTGCTTTATTGAGATAATGAACACAGACAAAGCCAATAACTGGAAACCGTGACCATGTCACTCCAAGGCTGCCTGTATTTGGCATGTCCTGCATAAAAGTGGGCTCATCCGTTAGACGGCAAGGTCACACAGGGTGCAGCTTACATTTACTGACCTGAAACTGGCATTTATGAGACTGACAGCACATAAAGGCTTTCTTGTGTAAAATACTGACAATAAAGACTGCATCTTTATTACCTGCCGGCTTGACAGAAAGTAATTCCTATGGGACTGAAATGGATCATTTCAGCTAAATAGTGAAAGCTAGATGTGTATCAGTTCTGAATGTGTATAATCATTGATTTTGTATGTGTCCTCTACAGCAATGTTCAGACGTGTGCACTACTAATGACAGTCAACTCCATCCTTTGACGCCTTTCATTTTCTCTAAAAGGGAAGCTATTAATGTTTGGATAATGGTTGAATTGATATGCATAAAGGCTAAAAGTTAGTGTAAATTCAGCAATTCAACCCCCAACATCAGTGTACGGAAAATCTGAAGACTGAAATGAAATGGAACAGCAAATGAACAGCAAGTTACGTAACCAATTGCATAACACTTTATAGAACCCTGCTACACAACATTGGCATAATGGTACAATGTCATAGCAGATGTTAGAGTTATCATGACAGATTATGTTCAGTAATATAACAATGTCATGTTACCTTTACTGGTAATTGTCATGACATATGTCAGAATGATTGATGTAGTTTCTGGTAATGTTAATGTCACATTGTTATTATGTATTATATATTACTGTCATAGTACTGTATATCTGCCATGACAACCCATAACAGCATGTGATATGTCAATTTTATGTAGCAGTAGGTTAAAGTAATGTCGATACAACAAGTGGTAATAACTGCTTGTTGTAAATTCTTTTTAAGGTTGTGTTCATATAGAGATTAAACTTTAAGTGATAGTTTGGCAAAAAAAAAAATCTGATTTACAGAATTTTGTCGTTACTCAAGCGCAGATAAGCCAAGACATGTTTGAAGGCTTGTTTGCTTCTTAAGTTTTGTGCTGGAGCTACAAGGTTAATGTAGCTATATAAGCTAATGACCAACAACAAGGATAATCATTAAAATAAAATAAATAAGTTAATTTGACTAGTGTTAGCTCTCCAAATTCATAGATCTTATAATTAAACAAGAACTTATAATTTTGTTGGGAATTGGGAGTTGGGAGCACACAAAGTTAGTATGTCAAGATACCTTTTTTAATCATCAAACAGTATGTATATCATAACAGTGTATTGTGTACTTAATATTGTACTTTTTATGTTGACAAACCTCCTTCCCTATGTTCAGAGTTGTGGAATCAAGAATAGAGAAAATTACTGTGTTGATTTCCATCACTTGTAATCAGGATCAGAGACAACTACAATATTTTCTGGAATTAAACAGCACTACAAAATACACACAGCAGTAATAAACCAGACTGGTAAATCAAAATGAGGTGATGTGAATATACTATAGCATACAATTATAAACACTTTTGGGGATGAGAGGGACATAGTTAGAAAAACAAATTAACCAAAAGCTCGATTAAACAGGTAAGTTTTTAGCCTAGACTTAAAGATAGAGGCTGTGTCTGAGTCCCGAACACAGACTGGTAGGCTATTCCAAAGCTGGGGGGCTTTGTATGAAAAGGCTCTTCCCCCTGACGTAACTTTATTTATTCTGGGTACTAATAATGAGCCCGCACCTTGTGATCTAAGTGGGCGTGTCGGTTGATAATAGGAAATAAGGTCACTGAGGTACTGAGGAGCAAGGCCATTCAAAGCTTTATATGTCAGTAGAAGAATTTTGTACTCAATGCGGAATTTAACTGGCAACCAATGTAAGGTACACCAATTTGGGCTAATGTGGTCGAATTTCCTGGTTTTGGTGAGAACTCTGGCTGCAGCGTTCTGGACTAACTGAAGCTTGTTAAGGTTTTGGCTGGAACAACCAGAAAGCAGAACGTTACAGTAATCTAACCTGGACGTGATGAAGGCGTGAACTAACGTTTCTGCATCCTGTAGCGACAGTGCATTTCTTAATTTAGCGATGTTACGCAGGTGGAGGAAAGCTATTCTGGGAATATTGGTAATATGCTCATCGAAGACCAGACTGGGATCAATCGTGACACCAAGGCTTTTTACAGATGTAAAAGTTTTAGTCTTTAATGTCTTTGACACAGTCCTCTATCTTATTAAGTTCAGTTTTGTCCTCTGGTTTAGCTGAAATATATAATTGTGTATCATCGGCATAGCAGTGGAAACTGATGCCATGTTTTCTAATGATGGTACCTAGTGGTAGCATATATAAGGTAAATAACATGGGTCCTAAGACAGAGCCCTGTGGAACACCATACTTTACTCTTGTGAGAGCTGATGGTTCACCATTTACATTAACAAACTCAAAGCGATCACTAAGGTAAGATTTGAACCACGAAAGAGCTTTACCTGTCACTCCTACTAGTTTCTCAAGCCTGTCTAATAGAATGGAATGGTCTATTGTGTCAAATGCTGCCCTAAGATCGAGTAAAACCAGTAAGGATATGTTTCCTTTGTCAGCGGATAATAAAAGATCATTTACAATTTTCACTAACGCTGTTTCGGTACTATGGTGAGGCCTGAAGCCGGACTGAAATTTTTCATATATATTACTCCTGTGCAGATGGGAACATAATTGTTTTGCCACTGCTTTCTCTAAAATTTTTGATAAAAAGGGAAGATTTGAAATAGGTCTATAGTTTGATAGCTCAGAGGGGTCAAGACTAGGTTTCTTTATTAAGGGTTTAATTACACCTAATTTAAGAGATTTTGGAACATACCCGAGGCTGAGAAAAGAGTTTATTATAATTAGAAAGGGCTTAGTTATTTCTGGCAAAACATCTTTAAGTAAACCTGTAGGAATAGGATCTAGTATACAAGTTGTTGTTTTTGTAGATGAAATAATTTGGACGAGCTCGGTTTGTTGGAGTAAAGTAAAAGACTCCAGCGTCTCTGTAGTGGTTATACTGCACTCTAGATCTAGATTAGGTTTATAGGACGCTGCACTGCAATGCTGTGCATTTTGAATTTTGTGCCTAATCAATTCAATTTTATTATTGAAGAAGTTCATGAAGTCAATGCTGCTGTAGGCTGATGGTATCTGGGCTTCAGTAGCTGCTTGATTATTAGTTAATTTAGAGATAGTACTGAATAGTAGCCAAGGATTATTCTTGTTATTTCCAATCAATGACGAGAGATAGGCTGAACGTGCTGACTTTAGTGCTTTTCTATAGTCTATAAGACTCTCCTTCCAGGCAGAATGGAAAACCTCAAGTTTAGTCTGACGCCATTTACGCTCTAATCGCCTAACAGTCTGTTTCATAGCTCGAGTATGGTCATTGTACCATGGAGCGAGCCTTTTCTGCCTTATTCTTTTACTTTTTAATGGAGCCACATTATCCAAAGTGGAGCGAAAAGTGTCTTCCAAACATTTAGTCAGTATATCTAATTCATTGGGTTCAGACGGACAACTAATTAAGGACGAAAGATCTGGAAGGTTTTCAATAAAGCTATTGGGTGTAGACGATGTTATAGTACGTTTAACACTATAGCGTGTGGATGGACATATATTACGACTAAAACTGATTTCATATGAGATTAAGTAGTGGTCTGACACTGCTGTGGTCTGAGGAAGGATGGCCAAATGCTTAATGTCTATACCTAAGGTCAATATTAAGTCTAGAGTGTGGTTACACTAATGAGTAGGCCCCATAATATTTTGAGTGAAGCCAAAACAGTCTAAAATAGATATGAATGCCTTACTTAGCGGATCCTGTGGTTTGTCTATGTGGATATTAAAGTCTCCAACAATTATTACTTTATTCGAGATTGTTATTAAACTAGATAACAGGTCAGTAAATTCCTGTAAAAACTCAGAGTAAGGCCCCAGTGGCCTGTAGATTATGATAAGCGAAAATGAGCTCTCATTTGTTCCTCGACTGCTAACGTTGAGAAACTGAATTTCAAAGGAAGAGAAATTACGGTCTGCTTTCTGGTTTAGTCCTAA